CAAACTACAGCGACCCAGGGTGTATCTTTAAGGTAGAATGATAGTATACTCGGATGAGGCAGCAGGATCGGACATAGGAGCTGTCCGCATCGTGTCCCGGGACGAACTCTGGACTCCACCGTCCCCCCGAGACATAGTTAGCTCTGTCGTCACGGGTGGGCTCCCGAGCTCCTGGTCTTAGACCTGCGCCCTTCAGATCCATGGTGAGCACTTAGACCAGGAGTCCGTCGAGGAGGGCTATCAGTTGCTGTGTGTCTCCCACCTGCGGCGCCTCCGGCTGGGCCCGCTGCCCTCGCCCGCAGTGCACGTCACAGAGCTCTGAGCAGGGCTGTGGAGGAAGGGCTGGCCGGGGGCCCAGGTCCCTGTCATGGCGGGCCTGGCCACCTCCACCCCACACTGTCCCCACACCCCCAGCTGCTGTCCTGTCCGCGGGGGCCGGCCCCCCGCGGTGAAGCTACTTCTATTTATTCACCGTTTGTGCCTCCTCCAGTTGCTTTCCTCTGGGACCTGCTGTCTCCCCCCGCCCCCATGGCCGGCTCTCCTGAGACCCCCGCATGCCCCCTGCACACGTGGGTGACGGGCAGCGGCCTCAGCCCAGCCCCCGTGGCCTCCCTGTTCAGAGGGAGCCTGGGGCCCTGGATGGATGGGCCTGCATTTCTGGGGTGTCTCTGAAAGCAGGGGGCGGTGGGCGGCACGTGTGTGTGCGCATGTGTGCATGTCGGCTGGCCGTGGGTGCCTTGTTTGGTACTGGGGGGGCCGGCCTGTGGGCGCTGTGGGATTCAGCCTTGTCAGCCACAGTTCCCACCCCGCTGCTCACTCCCCTGGCCCCGACTGGGGGGCTGTGCCCCCCCAACGCCTGGCCAAGACGCACCTGCCCCTCAGAGTCCCCGCCAGCCCCGGGTCTGGGTCCGGAGGGAGCTCGAGGCCGGGAAAGCCCCCGGCCGTGTGCACTGGGTCCTGGGCGCCACAACAAAAGGATAGGATCTGACTTAAATTAAGTTCTCATGTGAGGAGATTTTCATTTTCTTAAAAAGAATATAGTTTTCTTCTAAGAACTTGGGCCAAGGTTGTTGTTCCTGAAGAAAGCCACGTGCACTCATGAGCGTCCGACTTGTGGGGCCCGTGGCCGACGTGCAGACGGCAAGAACGCCGCGCTCGGTATTTTTGTATAAATGCCTCCAAAATCCCGGTGTGTGTCTGCCTCTCAGACTCCAGGCTGCGTGTGTCTGCGCGCGTCACCGCCTCACAGCCATGGCAAATACAGCGCCACTGGGTGCGGGCCCCAAGGGACTTGGCTTGTGGGCGGGCCCTGGCCGGGAGGAGCCCTCAGCGTGGTTTTCACGGGAAATTGTGCCCGAAGTCTGCCCTGCCCCCTGTTGGTTACGGCTCTTGCCCACCCCCCCCCCCGCCCCCCGCCGAGGCTGATCTCCAGGGGTGCGCAGACACAAGAAGTTCTTCCCTTGAGCAGAAGCTGGGTCCTGTCCAGGAGGTGAGCAGGGCTTCAGGAGAGCCCTTGGTGGGGGGGACTGAGCGTGCGTGCAGGAGTGGGGGTAGCGCAGCTCTGCTGTGTGGCCATGGGATCCGTGTCCGCCTTGGGAGGGGAGCGTGTGTGCACACTTGCCCTGGGGGACCGTGCAGACCACAGGGAGCAGGCCTGGGGGGACTCCACGATGGGAGAGTGTGACCTGCTGTGGGGTCGGGGGGAAGCTCACCAAGTCCCTGGTTTCCGGAGAGACCCCAGGGAGTGTCTGGGGCCCTGGGGCCCGGCTGCTCTCCTTCCATCCATGTGGGCTGCCCTCCAGAAGCCTGGGGTGGTCACAGTGGGCTTCTGCAGCCCTGCGAAGAGGCTGGCCCTAGGGGACAGGGGTCCCCCTGCGCCTCCCGGGGCTGCAGCGCCAGGTCCTGGCACAGCTGGTGTGCGGGGGGAAGTGCTCAGCAGGGCTGTGTGCCTGGCGCATGCTCACCTGTCCCCCAGCCAATCGTCCCCACCCCCACGCCCCACCCAGTGTGTTCTCTCCATCTGCTGTGCAGATGTCCCTGCCCGGCCTGCTGCGGACTCGGCTGGCTCACAGGGCAGCCCGGGAGGCGGGCGGGGTCAAAGGACCCTTGGGCTCTCCCACCTGAGAGCGCTTTGGGGAGAGGAGCGGCCCGGCCCTGTGGTTTTGGGAGGATGGCGGGCACTGGTGGGAAGACGTGGGATTGCATCTTTCCTCTCCGTGGGGACAGGGTCTGTGACTGCA